AGAATATAACAGAATATACCAGGGTAAGAGGGCTTGACCTAATATTCATAAAGCATAACGATGATATAAAGGATCTCGAGTACTGTCCTTTAGGAAAAGGCGACCCATGTAGCATAAACTGGGAAACACTTCTCGGCGATGAGAACCTTGATGTTCACTACTCAAAAATGGTTCAACGACAAATGCAAGAAAACGATAGAAAACAAGCAGCTCCTTTGGAAAAATTTCAGAAGACATACATCTCAGGTAGCGTATGAAAGATATAAAGAAGTGATTATACCCAAACCACGAGAGAGTTGAAATTAGACTTTGAAAAGGATATAATCACAAAATGCACAAGTCTATCAAAACTCTTCTTTATCTACATAAATAGTAAAACTAAGAGTAGAGATAACATTAGTGCCATCAAGGACAATAACATTTTTTATTCTAAGAAGGAAGAAGTGTGTGAAATCCTAAATGTGAAATTTAAGTCAGTGTTTGTTAAGCATCCATACTTTGATAGGGAAAATACCTTACAAAAGTTAATAATATCGAAAATATCTCCCTCAAAAAGAATGAGATAACAGATATACTAAAAGGATTAGACAAGGCCAAAGCAGAGGGACCAAATGAGATTTTTAACTGGGTTCTCAGGGAATGTGCCGAAGAATTATGTACACCTTTTTTTGTTAATATTCCAAAATTCACTGAGACAAGGTAAACTGCCAAAAAGTTGGAAACTCGCTAATGTTACATCCTTATATAAGAGTGGCGACAAACAGAACTCTTTAAATTAAAGACCAGTTTCACTAACTAGTGTAGTTGTTAGAAAGGATAATTAGGAAACAATAGGTTGCTGTACATGAAAACCACGGTGATATTAAATAAACAATTTGGCTTTAGAGAAGAAAGGTCATGTGTAACAAGTTTCTTTTGTTATTTATGAGAGAATAACTGAAATATTACAAGAGAGAGACGACTGGGTGGACTGTGTACTTGGACTTTAAAAAGACTTGCGATATAGGGTGTCTCATAGAAGACTACTTTGGAAATTAGAACACCTAGGAGTGAATGGTAAACTCCTCGCATGGATGAAAGACTTTCTTAATGAAAGACAGATGGGTACAGTAATAAGAGCATTCTGTATGGCGACGAATAACCAGCAGAGTGCCTCAACGATCGGTGTTGGCGCCTATTATGTTTACTATTTTCGCCAATGATTTAGAGTCAAACATGAGCTCAGTTAGTTATCTGAATATTTTTGGAGACCACGCGAATATACAAAATAAGGATAACAGACAACACCTCATGCCAATACCTCCAAAGTGACGACGAGAACTTATTCACGTGAAGTTGTACTTGGAAAGTGGGATTCAATATCAATAAATGCCACGTTGTCAGGTGTAAAAATCGCCCACTATTCCAATATAGATTAAGAGCCGCATTATTAACACAGCTGACAGGAAAAGATCTTGGGGTAATCATAAAAAGAAACCTAAGTGAGCGTATAAATGAAAGGGTCCACAAAATGCAAGGGCTGATTGCCAACACGAAGAGGGCATTCGTGTATGTGGACGACGATATGCTAAAGATCATTATAGCAATCATAAGACCAAGTCTNTACCTAGTATTATATTATTATATATAGTGTGTTGTGCTGTAGCTGTCTGTCTGTACTAATCTAGACTATCTATATATGCATAATATAATGTACATATATATACATATATATATAATATATAAATATATATAATACATATGTATATATATATACATTATATTGTATTATTATATTATATATATACATATATATACATAATTATATATTACATATATAAATATATATACAACATATATACATATATATATATATATAATATAATACAGAATAAGAAACACGCACATAAGTAAAAACATCCCGCTGCCCAGACGACACTTGGTAACTCTCTCGGGTTGGGACTTGTTGTGCTACGTCGATATGACGTCACGGAAGGGAATGGCAAGTGATGAATTTCATGAACAGTCGTCAGGTGTGCGATTTCACACTCGCACATTTCACTGTGCATATTTTATATTGAGATAAAAGTGGGAATCAATAGAATAGCTGATCATCGACCTGACTTTGCTTTAGTTATCGATCCCTGCTTGCACATAGGCGGTATGCACTGATCAGCTGATCTGCCGAACACTAGTCTCATAGTGATAACATGCAACTGGTGATGTGGAGTGAGTTCCGTGTGTAAATTGGTGATTGGTTGTGTATTACCCGCAATGTTAACTATTAATCATGGTTGATGTAATTACAGCACTAAATTGATCTTTGAGTTTCTCTTTATTATCCTACTGTTCATAATTATGTCAGAAATAGTAATGAATGAACAGAAACGGAGTCATTAACTGTCCCTAAAATGTCACTGATATTATGAATGTATATATATATCTTTTATCTATAAAAACACACGCATTTATCTGTATGTATATTGATGTATCTATACATACGTTTTATAGTCTCAATTTCCTCAGAAGTCAATCACATTTCGATTTTCTTCTCGAGCGCACTCTGGAGAATCCGCTAAGTAAGATGGGAAATAGCATTTAAGTGAAAGACATAGAGAGAATGAGAGAGAAAGAAAGGAAGCAAAGAAATAAAAGAGGAATGGGACCAATGAAAAAGTAACGTACAGGAAAGAAAAAGATATACAAGAGAATAGAGAAGAATGGTAGGATGGCGAACAGAGAGAGGCAGAAAGGCAGAGAAAAAGAAATGGAAAACAAGAAAGAATAAGAAAGATAAAAATGGAACTAAGGAAAGAAAACGACGGAGAATAATAAAAAAAAAATGGAGGGGGGAGAGAAAGAGATAAGAGCAAAAGAAATGATGGGGAAAATGTGAAATAGTTAAACAAAAACAAGAAATATATCATAATGGATTTCCACGGCATCGTAACCTTCCTCCGTGACGTAGTCGTGACGTACCATCACAGGTTTCAACCCGTGAGAGTTTCCAAGTGTCGCTAGCACATTGAAAAGCAATGTGAGAAACTGCATAGGAATATCTGTAATTATAATACAAATTACACAATATACACATACATCAAAAACAGGGAAACACACATACACCCATACATATGTACACATCCAACACCAGTCACAAATGCATCAACATAACACATAGGGATACGCATATAAGTCATACATATTTAAGTACGAATACGCATATCTAGATGTTTGTCTTATCTGTTATCCAAATTTCTACCTATCCTCCTATTCATAATTTTATTGGGAATGAAGGTTTGTGGATATTCATGATATAATTAATACACAAATAGATATCAGGATTAACTTTCTTGCCGAAAAGTCTAGATATCTGATTATTGCGTTTATTCATTACCTTAAACTCAATAACGAAAGCGTAATAAAATTGTACAACACAAACACATAAACACGCACGCACGCACGCTCGGACACACGAGTATTCAGGATAAAGATATGTTTACATTCAACACAGATGTATACACATACACCTGTCCGTATATCTTATCTTTCTATCTATACAGTGCTTGTACCTGTTTATCTGTTTATATTCGTGCATATGCATGTATGTATACTTTATTCCATTTTAAGGCAAGGTTGAAATCCAAAAAGGAAAACAAATATCAGCACAAGTTTGAGCGTATTGCGCGCGCAGCTGGGATATCGCGTTCCAACTTGTCTCGCGTCGGAGCCCTATAAATAGCGGACACACCGACCTTGCAGTCAGTGCTCGCTCGGTGAGCAACGTGAAAACAGTGCAACACTTGAAAGTGTCACTCTACCATCTTGAAGCATACTTGTGCATTTAAGGAAAGAAGATATTGAAATTTGTTGTGCAAATTCACTGGTGTTTGAACTTAGATAACAATTGCTGGATTAATATTAAGGTAAGAATAACATATTTTAGAGACCTTGAAATAAACGAAATTGTATGATATACCGTAGACTTCATACGGTCGTTCCTGAAAATCACATTTCAGACTCTACCGGATATCTCTTAGTGTAATTAAAACTGGTGTCAGTAAGATTCAAATTTTTGTATGAAACATTAATAAAAATTACATCTCGCAATTAGCAGGAACAAACATTTGACAGAAGTCCAGTCCCTGATTTATTTAGTAATTAGAAAATAGGTGTAGATGAAACTAACATGTGTTTTCTGTTTTGCAGAATACACTGTGAAGAATTACTAGAACATTTAGGAGAAACTTGAAGATCTCCAAAGCCTGTCGCCCTCACAGCCAAACCTTCTGAACAAACTTTTCCCCGAGAACATGGCTGACAAAACTCCACCTTACATTCCGGAGGATTACCTTCCCCTGGAGGAAGAGACTGCTCTTCGATCTCAAGTTGTTCGAACCAACTCATTGTTCTGTCAGTCTCTACTGCGGGAAATGTCTGAGAATTCATTGATTTTGCTTCCCAAAGCAAAATCAGATAAAGATTAGCCAAATTATTTCTCTTCTGAATCGAAAGAAAATTCGACGTGACGCCAGATTCGTTATTCAAATAATAAGGCGATGCAGTGGCATGAAGACTTCAGTATCAGGAAATATGTTTAATGACCAGATAGAGAAAATATCAAGCAATGTGCCTTCAGATATTTCATCAGAGGAAACGTCAAATAAAACGGCGCCTGAACTACCGATGGAAAGATTCTGCAGCACAAATAGAGACATTTCCGCCAAAGAAGTGGAGGTTCTATCAAGTCAAGTCCCGTCTAAAGAATCCTCTCTGAAGAGGTCGAGGAACCTATCTGGTGAGGGAGAATCTGAGGATTCATTCGAAAAGAGAGCTAGGGTTTCAGCAGAGGAAATTGGTACAGGAGGGAAAGGAAATGTTTCTGTTTCACCGTTTATGTCACAATTACACAAGACATGCCACCTGAGGCTCCATCAGAAGGAACTATGACAGAAACAAATGTAGAATGCGGGGTCTCGCCTAATGAAGATAAGTCAGAAGGCCAAGTAGCAGGAAGAGGTAGAGAAATCTGATGCCAACATGACCAGTGAGGAATCCATGGATGTTCCAAGTGTGGAATCTGGGAAAATGTCTCAGAGGTCATCATCTGTGCCAGATCAACAGCAGGTGTCAATCGCTGTTGATAAAGAAAAAAGTTCTGAAGGCGACAGGTGTTCAATTTGTGGAAAAAGAAATTGTCCTTCAGATCCTAAACTGCGTTCGAAAATAACCACTACCAGTGAGAAATCCACAGATGTAACAACTGCAGAAGCTGAGAAAATGTCTCAGAGTTCATCTGTGCCAGATCAACAGCAGGTGTCAGTTGCTATTGCTGAAGAAAAAACTTCTGAAGGCGACAGGTGTTCGATTTGTGGGAAAAGAAATTGTCCTGCAGATCCTAAACTGCGTTCGAAAATAAGCCAAATGCCCATGCCCATAAAGTCACTTGTTGGGAAACAAAAGTCTCCACGAAAGTCCAAGTTCTCCCAGGTTAATGTTATGAAGGTGAAGAAGACGAAGACTCCATTCAAACACTCTCGACAAACAGATTGGCTAAACGCATCGCTAATCACACACCACTTCATGTCTTCAAGTTAAAGGTAACGTAAGCATTAGTAGGCATACCTAATTGTTTCTATATCACATATTTGATATTTTGGCTTTCATTGTGCTTTAGTACTTTTCCAAATGTTTTCGAAAGTTCAACAAATTATTATTGGTCAATAGGGTCAGCTCTTCAAAGCAGTGGAAGATGGAGATGTGGTAAAAGTGCAGGAATTAATACAAGATACAGGAGCAGCTGTGAGGAAAAACAAGAGCAGATGCACACTCCTTCACACTGCAGCGTCTCACAACCAAGCGGATGTGGTGATGTTTCTGCTGAAATTGATCAGTCCCAATATTACCAACGAGGAGGGACAGACTCCAGCTCACGTGGCCGCTGAAAAGGGTCACACGCAAGTGCTGAAACTTTTAATGAGTGACTCTGACTTCGATGCCGACAAGCGGGATAATTGCCACAACACAGTAAAAACCTAGTAAGTAATTATGATGGAAATACTACAGTAGCATTTCAATCACACAAGCTTTCACCCGATAGTCTAGCATGAAAATGTTAAGTGTAGAGTAGTAGAATGTAGTTAATTGTGCAATATGCTTTTTCATTTGGAGTATATTCTTTTCTAAGAGTTTTCTTTTTACTGTCAGCTTGGTGGCCATCTGTTCAAGGCCGTATTAGAAGGGAACAAGAAAGAAGCAGAAAGACTGTTGGCAGTTGGTGCAGACCCAGACAGTCACGGTGGAAAGCTGGTGAATGGAGTGTTGGCACGAGAGCTTGGAGTGACTACAGCTGGCCTCCTTGCCAGTGCCCTGAATATGGAATGGGCTGTAACCATGTTTGCCAAGGTAATCATCTTAGATCTCTTATATCCTCAAATTGTCAACAGTGTCTTGGGAATATAAAACTTTTATAGCGTAATGTAAGCTTTAGAAAATTTACATTGATTTCAAATGTTTCAGAATGCAAGAAATGATAAAACCGGTGAAACTGGCCTTCTGACATCAGCTGTCTCAAACTCTGTGCAGCTTAAAGTGAGTGACATCTATATGAATTGTATTATATACTTTTTTTACCTATCACTATAACTAATCTTATTTATTCCTTCATTACTTTACATTCCACTAATGACAGGCATCTTTAAATTTCAGGTTCCCACGCGACAATTTCGTGTGAGACATGCAACGGCAATTCAAGGAGGTGCTGATGTGTACAAGATGGACAAGGAGGCACGAGGCTTTGTTCGCATCTTTAACTTCAGTTGTTTCAAGGACAGATCCGACCTGAACCTTCAGCAACTCGACTACGATGCTTGCATAATGTCAGATGTATTTGATAAGATGGGATACATGTGTAAAACACACTCGTCACTCACGGCTCAGCAGACTAAGGAGGTCATGAAGAACATTAGGGATGGTGATGAGCTAACAGACGTCGGATGTGCTATATTTGTCATTTGTGGATATAGTGTAAATGGCAGGAGTGTTCTTACGTCTGACATGAAATGTGTAGACATCGACTATATGTTGAATGCGTTCAAAGATTCCGAATGTCCTCAGCTCAAAAACAAACCCAAACTTTTCATCTTCAATTTTACAACATGAATGAAGTTACGAACTCAGGTAACCAAAAAGTCCAAAAGTGGTGAGATTGACAGATCCCTGAACGACATGGTTTGTATATATTCGAACAGCATTGGTGTGAACTGTGTCCCAGATGGGGAAGGAACTTCCTTCAACTGGTGTTTGTGTCGCACTTTGGCACACCGTGCTGCTGTGCAGGAATTTGGTGCTCTCTATCGAGCATTCCTGAAGGAGTACAGCAATAGCTCTCCTTCTTCGTCACCCGAGTTGAGGTATTTTGGCTTCACCAAGAAATTCTTCTTTAATCCTATGCAAATTGACTGAGACCCTCTGTGAATGAAGTTTATATCTGATTTTTACACCATTGATTTAAGAGATCTACAATGGCATAGTCAAAGTAATGGATTTATAATTATTTACCAAATTCTTTAAAGAAAATGCACTATTAATATATTGTTAATTTTGACAAATGTTGACAAGTAACATCCTGGTACAATTCCAATTAATATCTACCATAGTCACATTTTTTACTTTGTATTTTTTTTTCTTTTATACATAGAGATTGCTTGATAGATATATTGTTATATGTACTCATAATCTAGTTTATGTAAATATGGACATAATATATTTAATTATTCAAATGCCGTACATTGTAAGCTTTTAGTGTAAATATATACATTTTTTTGTATTAAGCTTTTTTTCATATCCTGGTCTTCAGTTCTCTTGTCTCTCCATATTTCTTGACGAAGATTTCAATACTGAAAAGTTCAAATCCAAATTAAGGATATTAAGTAAAAAAGGAAAAACTTTATTTACTGTGAATTCATTCAGAACACACAACAAAACACCAGATGGAAACAGAGAGAAAGATTTGTAGATAGGTAGATGTTGATATGTGTGTGATTGGAATCTGATAGACAGAGAAGGTCACAGACGGGGGGTGTGGTGGGGGCAGGGGAAGCAGGGTGGAGGGGATGGGAAGCGGGGAAGGATAAGAGGTGAAGGAAGGACGGTAATGAGTGTATGAGAGAAAGAGGGAGAGAGGTGTCCAAAACACACAATGACGCAAAAGGGAGATTGTTTTCAGTAACAGAATAATCTTTGTGGCCATCAATTTTGTGCGATAGTTAAAAAAAATCGTGTGCATTACTATGTGCGATGTACTTTAAGAAGTAAAATATATATCTTTTTCATTTATTTATCAATATCTATAAACAAATGCGTATATACATAAATATACAGATGCATATATATCATCATTGGAATTATTTAGTTCTCTGATTCGGAAAATGTCTCAGAGGTCATCTGTGCCAGATCAACAGCTGGTATCAATCGCTGTTGATAAAGAAAAAAGTTCTGAAGGCGACAGGTGTTCAATTTGTGGAAAAAGAAATTGTCCTTCAGATCCTAAACTGCGTTCGAAAATAACCACTACCAGTGAGAAATCCACAGATGTAACAACTGCAGAAGCTGAAAAATGTCTCAGAGTTCATCTGTGCCAGATCAACAGCAGGTGTCAGTTGCTATTGCTGAAGAAAGATCTTCTGAAGGCGACAGGTGTTCGATTTGTGGGAAAAGAAATTGTCCTGCAGATCCTAAACTGCGTTCGAAAATAAGCCAAATGCCCATGCCCCAAAAGTCACTTGTTGGGAAACCAAAGTCTCCACGAAAGTCCAAGTTCTCCCAGGTTAATGTTATGAAGGTGAAGAAGACGAAGACTCCATTCAAACACTGCATTTATACTCGAAGTTTAACAAACAGATTGGCTAAACGCATCGCTAATCACACACCACTTCATGTCTTCAAGTTAAAGGTAACGTAAGCATTAGTAGGCATAGCTAATTGTTTCTATATCACATATTTGATATTTTGGCTTTCATTGTGCTTTAGTACTTTTCCAAATGTTTTCGAAAGTTCAACAAATTATTATTGGTCAATAGGGTCAGCTCTTCAAAGCAGTGGAAGATGGAGATGTGGTAAAAGTGCAGGAATTAATACAAGATACAGGAGCAGCTGTGAGGAAAAACAAGAGCAGATGCACACTCCTTCACACTGCAGCGTCTCACAACCAAGCGGATGTGGTGATGTTTCTGCTGAAATTGATCAGTCCCAATATTACCAACGAGGAGGGACAGACTCCAGCTCACGTGGCCGCTGAAAAGGGTCACACGCAAGTGCTGAAACTTTTAATGAGTGACTCTGACTTCGATGCCGACAAAGGGATAATTGCCACAACACAGTAAAAACCCCTGGTAAGTAGTTATGATTGAAAGATACTACAGTAGCATTTCAATCACACAAGCTTTCACCCGATAGTCTAGCATGAAAATGTTAACTGTAGAGTTGTAGAATGTAGTTAATTGTGCAATATGCTTTTTCATTTGGAGTATTTTCTTTTCTAAGAGTTTTCTTTTTACTGTCAGCTTGGTGGCCATCTGTTCAAGGCCGTATTAGAAGGGAACAAGAAAGAAGCAGAAAGACTGTTGGCAGTTGGTGCAGACCCAGACAGTCACGGTGGAAAGCTGGTGAATGGAGTGTTGGCACGAGAGCTTGGAGTGACTACAGCTGGCCTCCTGGCCAGTGCCCTGAATATGGAATGGGCTGTAACCATGTTTGCCAAGGTAATCATCTCTTATATCCTCAAATTGTCAACAGTGTCTTGGGAATATAAAACTTTATAAGCGTAATGTAAGCTTTAGAAAATTTACATTGATTCCAAATGTTTCAGAATGCAAGAAATGATAAAACCGGTGAAACTGGCCTTCTGACATCAGCTGTCTCAAACTCTGTGCAGCTTAAAGTGAGTGACATCTATATGAATTGTATTATATACTTTTTTCTACCTATCACTCTATAACTAATCTTATTTATCCCTTCATTACTTTACATTCCACTAATGACAGGCATCTTTAAATTTCAGGTTCCCTCACGACAATTTCGTGTGAGACATGCAACGGCAATTCAAGGTGCTGATGTGTACAAGATGGACAAGGAGGCACGAGGCTTTGTTCGCATCTTGAACTTCAGTTGTTTCAAGGACAGATCCGACCTGAACCTTCAGCAACTCGACTACGATGCTTGCATAATGTCAGATGTATTTGATAAGATGGGATACATGTGTAAAACACACTCGTCACTCACGGCTCAGCAGACTAAGGAGGTCATGAAAAACATTAGGGATGGTGATGAGCTAACAGACGTCGGATGTGCTATATTTGTCATTTGTGGATATAGTGTAAATGGCAGGAGTGTTCTTACGTCTGACATGAAATGTGTAGACATCGACTATATGTTGAATGCGTTCAAAGATTCCGAATGTCCTCAGCTCAAAAACAAACCCAAACTTTTCATTTTCAACTTGTTTAACATGAATGAAGTTATCGAGACTTCAAGCAGTGAAAGTCCAAAAGTGATGAGGTTGACAGATCCCCTGAACGACATGGCTTGTCTATATTCGAACAGCATTGGTGTGAACTGCGTCCCGAATGGGAAAGGAACCTCCTTCAGCTGGTCCTTGTGTCGCACTTTGGCAGAACATGCTGCTGAGCATGAACTTTGTGATTTTTACAGAGAATTCCTGAAAGAATACAACAAGAGCTCTCCTAGTTTCTCACCTGAATTGAGGTACTTTGGCTTCACCAAGAAATTCTTCTTTAATCCTATGTAAATTGAATGAGACCCTCTTTGAAGGGAGTTTTATCTGATTCACACACCATGAATTCAAGAGATCTTCAACAGCAATTACTTGAGGCATTAGATTTTTAATTATCTATTATATAAAGAAATTGCACTGGACAAACTTCGGGTATTGGGACAAACAGAAAAGTCACATTGTGTTATAATTTCGATGAATAATTATCAATGAAATATTTCAGGTAAAATGTTTATATTCTTTTACATGTTTTATTGGTTCTCGAAATATTTATAAATTATCTTATATTATATGTTTTTGTAGAGGAAGATTTAGATATATACTAATATAGACACATTATTTATTCATCAAGTTTATGTAAATAATGTACAAAATATATCTAGTCATTCAAATGCTGTACATTAAAAGCTTTTAGTGTAAATATATATTTCTTTTGTATTAAGCATTTTCATATCCTGTTTTTAAAATCTCTATCAATATCTATAGAAAATAAGTATATACAAAAATGTATATATACATATATATCATCATCAATGAACATGACATAATACCAAACATTACATCAAAGTGGTTGGGATTTCGGGATGCTACACTAAAGGGTTATATATACTTATGCATGTATATATGTATATACTTACATATTCATAAATACATGTATATATACACACATATATGCATACATCATATGTATATGTATATATATATATACATATGCATATATATACAGAAAGAGTGAGAGATTTATGTATGTATTAGTATATACAGTGCATGAATATATTCATAGATAGAATGATACATACAGTACATACATAAAGATATACATACTTAAATGCGTATTAGTATGCATATATATATATATGTTGATAAATATGTATATATATATGTATACATATGATATATATGTACATATATGATATATATGTATACATATGTACACATATGATAGATATATATGTACACATATATACATATATGCGTACATATATTTACATATATAAACATACACACACAAATGTATATATTTATGAATATATGTACATATATATGTGAATATATACTTATTTATAAATATGCATATGTATATATATATATATATGAATATATATACTCATACACATATATGATCACACACATATTTATGTATATATAATCAGCACACACACATATATACATACATACTACATATATGTATATATATATGTGTAGCTGTCTGTCTGCCTATCTATCTATACATACATACATATACATGTACATATATATAACATATATATATATATAATATATATACATATATATACATATATATAGACATACATATAAATACATATGTATACACACACACACACACATATGCATATATATGTATATATATACACATGACAGATAGACACGCACATAAGTAAAAACATCCCGGTACCCAGACGACACTTGGTAACTCTCTCGGGTTGGGACTTGTTGTGCTACGTCGATATGACGTCACGGAAGGGAATGGCAAGTGATGAATTTCATGAACAGTCGTCAAGTGTGCGATTTCACACTCGCACACTTCACTGTGCTTATTTTATACTGAGATAAAAGTGGGAATCAATAGAATAGCTGATCATCGACCTGACTTTGCTTTAGTTATCGATCCCTGCTTGCACATAGACGGTATGCGCTGATCAGCTGACCTGCCGAACACTAGACTCACAGTGATAACATGCAACTGATGTGGAGTGATTTCCGAGGGTAAATTGGTGATTAGTTGTGTATTACCCGCAATGTTAACTGCTAATCATGGTTGATGTGATTACAGCTCTAACGGAGTCATTAACTGTCCCTAAAATGTCACTGATATTATGGAATGTATATATATCTATTTATCTATATAAAAAACACACGCATTTATCTGTATGTATATTGATGTATCTCATTTCGATTTTCTTCTTCTCGAGCGCATTACTAAGTAACATAGTAAAATAACATTTAAGGGGAAGACATAGAGAGAATGAGAGAGAAAGAAAGGAAGCAAAGAAACAAAAGAGGAATGGGACAAATGAAAAATTAACGTACAGGAAAGAAAAAGATATACAAGTGAATAGAAAAGAATGGTAGGATGGCGAACAGAGAGGCAGAAAGGCAGAGAAAAAGAAATGGAAAACAAGAAAGAATAAGAAAGATACGAATGGAACTAAGGAAAGAAAACGACGGATAATAATAAAAATAAATAAATAAAAAGATTGGAGCGAGCAGAGAGAGAGAAAGAGATAAGAACAAAGAAAGAAATGATGGGGGAAAATGTGAAATAGTTAAACAAAAACAAGAAATATATCATAATGGATTTCCACGGCATCGTAACCTTCCTCCGTGACGTAGTCGTGACGTACCATCACAGGTTTCAACCCGTGAGAGTTTCCAAGTGTCGCTAGCACATTGAAAAGCAATGTGAGAAACTGCATAGGAATATCTGTAATTATAGTACAAATCACACAATACACACATACATCAAAAAAAGGGAAACACACATACACCCATACATATGTACACATCCAACACCAGTCACAAATGCATCAACATAACACATAGGGATACGCATATAGTCATACATACTCAAGTACGAATACGCATATCTAGATGTTTGTCTTATCTGTTATCCAAATTTCTACCTATCCTCCTATTCATAATTTTATTGTGAATGAAGGTTTGTGGATATTCATGATATAATTAATACACATTTAAATATCAGGATTAACTTTCTTGCCGAAAAGTCTAGATATCTGATTATTGCGTTTATTCATTACCTTAAAATATTAACTCAAATAACGAAAGCGTAATAAAATTGTACAACACAAACACATAAACACAAACGCACGCACGCACGCACGCTCGGACACACGAGTATTCAGGATAAAGATATGTTTACATTCAACACAGATGCATACACATACACCTGTCCGTATATCTTATCTTTCTATCTATACAGTGCTTGTACCTTTTTATTTGTTTATATTTGTGTATATGCATGTATGTATACTTTATTCCATTTTAAGGCAAGGTTGAAATCCAAAAAGGAAAACAAATATCAGCACAAGTTCGAGCGCATTGCGCGCGCAGCTGGGATATCGCGTTCCAACTTGTCTCGCGTCGGAGCCCTATAAATAGCGGACACACCGACCTTGCAGTCAGTGCTCGGTGAGCAACGTGCAAACAGTGCAACATTAGAAAGTGTCACTCTACCATCTTGAAGCATACTTGTGCATTTAAGGAAAGAAGATATTGAAATTTGTTGTGCAAATTCACTGGTTTGAACTTAGATAACAATTGCTGGATTAATATTAAGGTAAGAATAACATATTTTAGAGACCTTGAAATAAACGAAATTGTGTGATATACCGTAGACTTTATACGGTCGTTCCTGAAAATCACATTTCAGACTCTACCGGATATCTCTTAGTGTAATTAAAACTGGTGTCAGTAAGATTCTAATTTTTGTATGAAACATTAAAAAAATAACATCTCGCAATTAGTAGGAACAAACATTTGACAGAAGTCCCACTAATTTATGCCTAACCTCTGTTTAGTAATTAGAAAATAGGTGTAGATGAAACTAACATGTGTTTTCTGTTTTGCAGAATACACTGTGAAGAATTACTAGAACATTTAGGAGAAACTTGAAGATCTCCAGAGCACGGTTGCTGTCGCCCTCACAGCCAATCCTTCTGAACAAACTTTTCCCCGAGAACATGGCTGACAAAACTCCACCTTACATTCCGGAGGATTACCTTCCCCTGGAGGAAGAGACTGCTCTTCGATCTCAAGTTGTTCGAACCAACTCATTGTTCTGTCAGTCTCTACTGCGGGAAATGTCTGAGAATTCATTGATTTTGCTTCCCAAAGCAAAATCAGATAAAGATTTAGCCAAAAGCGATTATTTCTCTTCTGAATCGAAAGAAAATTCGACGCCGGATTCGTTATTCAAATTAATAAGGCGATGCAGTGGCATGAAGACTTCAGTATCAGGAAATATGTTTAATGACCAGATAGAGAAAATATCAAGCAATGTGCCTTCAGATATTTCATCAAAGGAAACGTCAAATAAAACGGCGCCTGAACTACCGATGGAAAGATTCTGCAGCACAAATAGAGACATTTCCGCCAAAGAAT